CTGAACCCCATCGCACTCTGACTCGTGACTCCATACCACCCGCAGGTGTTTTGCTTCCTTCCACAGCTGGATCTAGTAGTGCTTGCACCAAAAAGCTCCACCACAGTCACACTATATGCCTACTCTAGGAGAGCCATATTTGAACAGCCCAAAGCCATCCCAACATTTTTTCCTCAACAACCCCAGAGGCTGATGCACTAAACTCTATTTGGACAAGGTGCAGGATCCTAATGTCACACAGCAGCTTTACACTAACTAGCGCTGTTGTTCCTGTTTCACAAGTCAACACCAAAGCAAAGTCAGGCCTTTACATTTAGAAAATTATTTATTTTCTGATCTAAATTTACTTTTCTCTTGAACATGGTGCTTTAGAAATCCAGCTACCCAGGTGGAAGGTTAATTTTAGATACAGTGCATCTGAAAGATTGTTCTTCCTCATTGCATTCCCAAGTCACCAGAGGGCAATCTGTGACGTATAAATGTAGCAACAGTTTAGATTGAAAGTGTAGATTGTTGGCTTAAAATGTTAATTGCTCAGTTGCAACTGGGCAAAAAGTTGGTGGAATAATCAAGTTCACTCAGTTGCACTGTCAACACACCAGAAAGCTTAAGATTATAAAGTTTCAAAAATTAACCCAACAAAAAGCAAACTGGCAGAAAGACCTGGTTAAGGGCAACCATAAAGATTACTCCGTGGAAAGACTGACCACCCTACCGCAATAATGCAACCTTCTCCTCCTGTTTAAGAGCAGAGCCAGTTTTAATGGGCTCATTCAGCTGACTTGTCTAACACCTTCAGCCTAACCCTAACTTAACAGTATTAACAGAGTTGCAAGAAATTGGACTGTCATGGATCTTATACAGTTCATTTTCTTATTATTACTTCTATAAATCCCTCCATGCAGAGTGCTGGTAGCCCTGGGCAAGCTCTGCATCCTGCACAGTGCTGACTCCGAGCGATGGTGGCTCACCAATCCTGGGCTAGAACCTAGTCTCAGGTAGTTTTTGATCTGTTCCTAGATACTGTCAATGCATGGCAAATACATTGCAAACACTCATACAACTCTCAGCCCTCTTGAATATCAAAGAAAATAAACACTGTTGCTATGCATCTGTTCATTCCAAGCTTGAATCATTCCCATTGGAGAGCTTCTGAAAGGATCTGGAGCTGCCTCAACTACTTCAGTGCTTGCTCAACATCGTTCCCTCATTGAAATACCTCTCTAGCAGATGAATAAAGAGGTTCCTTCTCAAGCATTTAAAACAGAACACGAGGCAACAAGTGTAAGCCAAGAAAATGGAATTCCTTTAAGAGTGTTTCCAGAAAAACTAAGATGAGAAGAAGGCAACAAGCAGAAGAATTAAGTTACACAAGCCAGCTCCAGCCCTTCCACACAAGCATCTAGATTTTTTTAAAGACATTTCCAACGATCTAGAGCAAGCACAAAGGCACACATGAAACACAGAAACAGGTGGACCGAGTCTCAATTAACCTCATGAGCAAGTTAGGAGAAGCACACCAAGTCACAGCATCACAGCAGTCCAGACCACTCACATGAAAGGCAAGCTCTTTTGAAAGAAAAGAAGGAATGTGAGACATCATTCTATCAACTGGTTGCAGTATTTTGACAGATAAAGACATAAAGTCAAAGAACAAAACCCACGTCAGCATCTCATCACACATCTCCCCATCTTTCAATGTACTTCAAGGTCAAAAATAACTGTTGGGTACAAAAGCACAAGATTAAAATAAACAACAAAAAAAAAAGCCCATGCAGGTAACAGTCCCTCTTCACATTGCTTCCAAGTTCCTACCCTAAGCAAGCAGTTTAAACCCTAATGAGGAACTGTGCAGTTAATACTGAAAAGAGAGAATCACCTGAAGATCAGTCCACCACAGTTCATAACATGACAAGTTATATTGTTTAAAATCATGTAGTCGTATAAAGGCATCAGAAAAAAACAGAGGAGTATTTGAAAAACTGGATAAAATCCTGAAGCAGTAAGTCATACGTCTATAGC